CAGTCCTCGGGACCAGCAGATGGCTTAATGGCTACATTGCTGGACTCCCATGTAGTTGACCGTGGTTTGAGTCCCAGACCCAGTGGCTTATACTCATGCTGGGTGCATGTGTGTGCGTGCCCAAGATCCTGAGAGGAGAATGGAGGAGAAGGGATTGCAGCATTACCATCCCTCTGAGGGGTGATTTCTCACTTTCTGTCTCTCTGTCTCTCTCTTTGTGGAGAATGTACATGCCCTATAGCAAAAAGCTCTCCAAAAAGAGAGGTCAGCAATCCTAACTTCTATATAACTGGATTAATTTTCTTCCTCATTGTTATAGTTGGATATTTGAAATTTTGTTTTCATGAGACACTTAGAAAAACCAAGGCAACTTCACTCTTTCACTGAGGATGATCAAGAGAGCCGTTTGATTGGGTGTTTTGGATATCACATTAATGACAGCTGCTGAAAAGCTCTCAACTTCTGCTGAGCAGAATGACTGTCATTCTGAATAGCACAGTGCAAAAACCTGGTTATCTTTGTACCCATTGTGATCATTAAAATTGGTATATTACCTCCACTTCTAATTTTTTAGTGTGAAATTAATCAGAATTGGTTAGCTATTACTTATACATCTATCTCAGAAAATAGATGTTTTGTTTTTCTGACAAAGTTCCATCAGCAAAGAACATTTCTGAGAAAGTGCCAGGTTTGGTCTTGTTGGCATAAGCCCATATTGTTGGGAAATTAGCCCAAAGTCTGTGTAATAGAGTTTATTTTTTTAAATGCCTGCTTCAGTTGAATCTTGGCTATTTAGTTAGGTTGGATCTTTATTTCTTCTTTCTCTTTACTATCTAAAGAGTAATTTTTGGTATGAAGAAAATGTGTATCTCAATTTTCTTTCAGAGCTATACGCATACAATTCTATATATTATACACATGTCACATTTTATTTATAGTTTGAGGGCTTCCAAAGATTCAAGATCCATCATTTAAACTTAAAGCCAAATCAAGTATCTGGGAATCTTGAAGCAGAATCATGCTGAATGAACGACCCCTTCTCCCTTCATTCACACCTCATCTTTACTACACTGTATTTCTCTCTTCTGTGCTAGGTGAACTCTTTCTTCCCTTTCTTTTGTTTGAATACCAAGCACACAGCACAAAGCTAAGCCAATAAACTTTGTGCTTAGGAATTGATTAAAGAATTGTATAAAATACATTGGACTGTATATACTGTGTTGTTTCCATTTGGGGGCCTTCCAACGGGTCTTTTCATGTCGGAGGTTTATTGAGTGGAGACGTTTGTCTTTACTTTGTCATGGCCTTTTCCCGCCGCACCCAGTCACCTCCCCACGTGATTCATTTCCGTTTAAGAATCTCATAGTCATTTCTCGTGCTAGTCGTTACCTATATGTTGAGGTCAATTGTCATGGCAACTTTTGCATGGTTGAAAAGTTGCTCTTCTGTTTAACTTCTTTCTTTTCAATTCAGAATGAGGAACTGATGGGTCAACTAGAAGGATTGTTTTTCTTTTAGTCAAAAAAGTGTTTGTTCTATTGTGAAAACTCATTTACTGTTAATTCATTTCTTGTATTTGGAAACATGTTTTCTATTTTTTGGGTTGCCTAAATCATTGTTCATATCCAGTTTATTCTGAATTTCAAGCAAATGGTTTTAAAATGATAAAAGCTGCAGGATTTATTTTCTAAAACAGTTTGTTGTGTTCAAAAATCATCCTGTATGTCTCAGGTGTGTGTGCTGAAGGATCTAGAGACTGAGCTGCTCATTGTGAAAAAGAGAGTCCTCGCCAGGCACTACAGGCTAAGGTTAATGGGCATTTATAGTGCCCTGAACCTACCCCATCACACAGACACATTTGTAATGGAAAGTATTTCCCTTATTCCATTTTCTAAAATGCTAGAGGCCTACTAGCTTTGAAACAACTATGAAAATTTCCTTTCAGCACATTCTCGAGAAATACTATTGTTGGGGCTAGCAGGGAGTGTAGTGCTTATGATGCTGGACTCCCACATGGCCAACCGTGGTTCAAGTCCCAGACCCGGTGGTATGAAACTCACACAGGCATGTGTGCACATGTGCCCAAAATCCCAGGAAGAGAATGGAGAAAGGATTGTAGCATAGTCATCCCCCCTGGGGATGATTTCTCACTTGTCCTCTCATCATCTGGCTCTTTCTGTCCCTGGAACACGCACACCCTATGGCAATACCTTAAAAAATTTTTTTTTAATTGGAATTAAAAAAAAAGAAAGAAATACTATTGACAGTTCAGTAACAATAGCTGACTTCTCATCCTGAAAAGTATGCTTTTCCAGTGTACCACTAGTTGCAGAAATCAGCCTGATTTCTATGAAAGAGCCACATGGCACTAGTGCTGGCTCAACATGTGGTGTAGGTGGAGGGCCCCTGTGTGGGGTGAGGAGACAGTATCAGTGGGATTAATGCGAGCGCTCAGAACAGGCTGATGGAGGTTCAAATTCCTGCTTTGACGCTGCCTAAATCTATGGTAGAGGGAGTTACTTCACTCTTCCCGGTCTTTGCTTCCTTTCCTATAAGTGGGATGGGATAAGAGATTATGAACCTTACACATGCAGAACGTACATCAGTTGAGATAATAGAGTACATATTAAGTGTAAGTCTCATGTAATTTTAGAGCCTCAAGTCAGTGCAAAGTTAAAAAAAAAAAATAGAGAAAGACCTTTATTCAGCCATGTGGAAAACTGACTTTCAGCTTTGTTTTCAAAAATATCTCTGTCTATATGATTTCTTTTTCTCACTGTAAAACTAGAGCATATTTAGTCTGATCTTTCTGCTTCAAGGATGTATAAGAACAGCTAAGCTAACAAATGAGGGAAAACCATGTTTGAACTGTTTAAATGAAAGATACCACAAAACTCAAATAGAGTTCTACAATTACACAAAATTCGATTCGAACCAAATGTGACATAAGTTTATTATACCCACACAGACCTCTGTGACCGTATCCTTTGAGATAACCTAAGAATATTGAAGTCTTTTGCTGATGTGACAAGTGTCTAGACGTGCTTTTTATGCAAACAGGAGGACGTGAACTGAGAAATAACTCACCTGAGTTGTGTCAGCTTCTGCTTTATGATATTCCCCATGAAACCAAATTTCAGTGCTGTTCTCAAAAGACACATTTCCTGTGACAAAGCATTACAAAATGCACTTCTTAGTATGACTTGTATTTCAAAACAGGCTCCAGGAATTGAAATAAAACATTGTGTATGCCAGAATTAAAATTACATATATGAATACAAGAAATTAAAAGTACAAACTAGTAATATACTCCTAGAAATTTAAATATCTGAAGGGCCTTAGAAATAATCTAATACTTTTTGTCATTGTAAAATAAATTTTTTTTCTGAAAGTATATGACCAACAGGGGCCAACCTGTGGAATGGTGGTTAAGGTGTCTAGATCCCACATGACGAGCCATACAGTTGGAGTCCTGGACCTGGCAGCTTGGAAAAGATGCCAGGCATGTGTGTATCCATGCCCAAAATCTCAACAGGGGGAGGAAGATGGAGAAGGGATTATGGTGTAAACATTCCTCATGGGGTGCTTACTTTCCCACTCTTCTTCCTTTTCCTCTGCAACTCTCTGGCAAGCACATGTGCCCTATGGAAACTTTAAAAAATAAATAAATAAGAAGTTAAGGGTATATGTCCAACATATATATATATTTTTTTTTTGAGAGATTTTTGCTATAGGGCGCGTGTGCTCTCCAGACAGACAGAGAGAGACAGGGAGACAGAAAGCGAGATATCACCCCCCCAGGGGAGATGGCCACACCGCAGTCCCTTCTCCTCCATTCTCCTATCGGGATCTTGGGCACGCACACACACACGCGCCCGGCGTGAGTTTTAAGCCACCGGGTCTGGGACGCAAACTGCGGTCGACTACGTGGGAGTCCAGCAACATAGCCATTACACTAACTGCTGGTTCCCTTGTTGCATATTGTGTATTGATTTTTTTCTTTTAAATAGGAAAATTAAAACAATATGGTCAATTAGTGAACCTGAGAGATACAAAACAGAATTCTAGTTATGTGGAATGATATAGTTTAACTTCAGAATTTTAAAAAGCAAAATTCTAAGAAGCAAATATGAGTTAGAAACAGAAATAAACTCTTAGGTCTTGATGGATCTCATTTTAAAAAATCGTTTTAGATTCTTGAGTTTGTAATACTGAGTTATAAAAAAAAGAGTAAAGTAGAAGTAAAACACAAAAACATTTGGAAATGGCAGATTTAGTGACTCAACAGGATAATCAAGAATGCCCAAGTCAAACATTTGAATCAGAGCCTGCTTTATGAGACTCAGTGACTGGACTCCCAAATCAATAATAATCTGTGAAGAAATACATAATTTAAAAAAACAATCATTGTTTTCTAAAGTTTCCTAAGTCTTATTTTAGAGCTTTAATTCTGCTTCACTATCAATGTAAGAGTCCCAATATTTAAAAACTGGATCCTGAATCAGGAAGCCTATGCTTTGGAACTAATACCTCAGTTCTGAATTTTAATATCTCTTTTGCAAAAAGGAAAATGAAATTTACTTCAGGTATTCTTTACAAAAATATTGTCAGATACTTGACCAAAATAGTTTTGTAAAAAGTGCAGCATAGGGCCAACAGGAGTGTGGAAGTTAGGGCAGCTGGATCCCAAATTGCTATATGGTCAACTTCATGGTTTGGGCCCCAACCCAACAGCTTGAAAAACACACTGGGTGCATGTGTGTGTGCCCAAAAATGTAAAGTGGAGAATGAAAGAGAAAGGATTGCAGCATGACCAGCCCTTCTAGAGGGTGATGTTTCTCTCTCTCTCTCTCTCTCTCTCTCTCTCTTTCTCTCTCTCTCTCCAGTAAGCCCACATACCATATAGCAAAACTAAAAAAAAAAAAAAAATGCAGCTTAAGTATTTAGTTGTTCTTTGTAAAATTAAATATGTGTTTGTGTATCTTCTCTTTTACTTCTAGGGATGCAATAAAGTACAGGATTTTTATAATGTAATACCTGAAGGCATGAATTTGACTTTTCTCATTGCCTTAGTTTCAAATAATGGAAATTACACATGTGTTGTTACGTATCCAGAAAATGGACGTACCTTCCATCTTACCAGGAGTCTGATTGTAAAGGTGGTAGGTAAGCATGATTTGTATAAAGTACACACAACAAAAATGTATTAATCTTGATCTGGTTCTTCATAGTTTTATACACAGGTATGTAAATTCTGTTTAAAAATAGACATGTTTTTTGTCCATTACACTCAGAGCCATCAGCAATACCATGTACAGGTAAGCGTTTAGTAACTATTAGGACACTCAACGATTAAATGAACACATGCATTAAAGGAGGTTTGGGAAGGGGAAAGCGTACTGTAAATTATGTCACTGCCACATATTAACAAAATGAGTCTCCTTTGATCAAGGTCTCTTGCACGTCTCAAAGACTACGTATTATTCAGGTTACTGAAAAATCTTAGAAATTATATAAATATTGTGCTAATATAGTTCCAGTCAAGTGGTAGAGACTCAACCAATGGTAGTTAATACTATCCCCCCGCCCCCCCAGAATGTCTCACTTAAGTTAAGTAGACTATGTCTTTCTATTACCGAAACTGTTCTAGCTGTTGCTAAAGTGTTCTAGCTATTGCTTGGCAGTCTTCAACTTCTCTCAGTGCTATGCACTGAAAGAAAAGGGGTTGAGAAAATAGGGAAGTAGACAGGAAAGTGCCTAGTCAGAGTCAACAGATTCTCATCAAATGCAGAAATCAGGAGAACTAGCACCACGTGAGTGACTTGGGGGAAATACCGCTGCATGCACTGTGTTAACAGTGATAGCACATGGAAGTGATATTTCGTCAGACCCCGTATCACAACAGATGGAAACACTGAGTCTTTGAAATAGGAAGTACACTGTTAGGAGACACCTTTGAGTTCATAGAAAAAGTCATTCTAAATTCCAAGTTTCCGCTTGGGGCTTTTTCTAATAATCTGACACTAGACTCAGTGTACATTTCAAGAAAATAAAAATAAAAGCCCCTTTCTTAAGGTGTTTTCCTTTCACTTCAGGAATATAGAATGGCATAAAGAGCAGAAATCCTGTGAGTGAACATTCCACTGATAACTAGCCGTCAAGTAGACTTGTGTGTTGGCCTTAACATTGTGACTGAATGTTTCACTTTTTATTCATCCATTTACTACTTGTTTTTACGAGATTTCATACTAGAAATTCTGAGCATGTTGAAGAGAAATACATGGAGAAGAAATGATCAATTAAGACATAAGAACAATGAATTACAATGTCATAGGAAGCGTCTATTTCATATAAGCTTTGGGAACAGAGAATTCTGGTTAAACAATCTATCCTGAAACCTGGAGGATTCTCAATATATTTTGTTTGTTTCTTTGTTAAAGAAAAACCATTTTTCTCTGTTCACAACACTTCTGTCACCAAATGTGTGGATGTTCCACACCAAACAATCCTCCAGTGTTCTGAGGACACCAACCGTGTGTCCTACAGTTTAATTTCATTCCACCCGCAGTTAGACCAGACCCCAGATTAACAGATCAGTCTCGCAAGATGGCGCCGCTCCCCATTTCAGATACCAGTCACAGGCAGTGGGTCTTCTGGTCACACATACGTCTGTCTGATTTGGCTACAAACCAAGGGTTCACAACCCCCTCCTAAGGTTTCATAGTTGGCTTCAATGTCTCACAAAACTTAGGAAAACACTCCTTAAGTGTATTGGTTTATTTTAATGGATATTATAAAGGATTTAAATGAACAGCCAGATGAAAAAGCACAAAGGGTGAGGTCTTGAAGGGTGCCAAGTAATGTAGGTTCTGTGGCTTGGAATTGGGGTACACTGCCCTCCCAGCATGTGGATGTGTTTACTAACGCAGAAGCTTTTCTAACCCAGTTGTTTAGGGTTTTTATGGAAGTTTCATTACATAGGTGTGAGTGATTAAATCATTGACACTTGACTCCATTTCCAGCTGCGGGGCAGTACTGAAAGTTTTAGCCCTTTAATTATGATTTGTACTGTCTGCTCCTCAGCTCTTACTGTGAAGGGACCCATCTCATTAGCATACAAAAGACACTTTTTTCTTTTTTTTTTTATTGCTAGAGAGCAGGTGTACTCCCCGAGAGAGCAAAGTGAGACAGATAGATATATAGAGAGAGGAAGAGAGGTCATTAAAGCATGACTCCACATGCAGCGTGGTCATGCTTTAATCCTTTCTCTTCCATTCCTCTTCCATTTGGGATTTTGGGCACACATGCACATGTATCTTCATGTTTTTGAAGTCACCAGGGCCAAGACTTGAATTACATATGGTCAGTCATATGGGATCAGACTCCTTTAACCCTAGGATATGGGACCAACCCCAGAAGACACTCAGATAAACTCCAGAAATTTTGAGCATCTTAGAAACTTTTGTTTTAGGAACCAGGAACTAAGATCAAATATCAAAACCGAAAATATTCCTATTTTTCCTATCACTCAGGAAATTTCAAGAGTTTTAGGGACTTTGTCTCAAGAGATCCAGTAGAGATCCAATAAGTATTTCTTATTATGTTAAACTTTATAGAACAATTATTGAGTAAATATTGGACTATGGGCCACCTCAAGAATTAAACAACTATGCCAAGAAGTTGGACAAGACTTCACAGTGGAGAAGATTTTTTAAAGTGGGTTACTAAAGTTTACATTGATTTAACATCATCTCCCTTTTTTATTTCTTCTCTATCCCAGGCTCTCCAAAAAATGCAATGCCCCCCCAGATCCATTCACCCAATGAGCATGTGGTCTATGAGAAAGAACCAGGTAATTATAACTGTGCCTCTGAATTTCAGTTGCATTCTCTTGATTATAAGGAATAAAAAAGCCACTTAAGGTAGATATGTAAGTTAGACATTATGAAGAAAGAATGGTATTGTAAAGAGTGTACACATTTAAACAGAAATGGCAGAAAGCAACACACCGCTGGACATCAGCTGACAGGCAGCTCGGGAACTTTCTTTTCTCTATCAGTATCTCCCTGAGTCTTCCTCTGCTGATTAGCGATCTCTGTTCAGTGCAAACTTCCTGCATGGAGCTTTGGTTTGCCACGTCTGCAACATGATCACAAGACATCCTTCAGCCTCTGCTCTAACATGAAAGGACCTGGGGCCGGGGTTGCAGACCAGACTGTGACTATAATAAGTAACACCTCTCCTAACTAGTACCCCAGGATTCAGCACACTCCCGCATGTTTGCTGTGGCTTTCTGGGTTTGTTTTGGTTTTCACAGTTTTCATTCTGGGTGAAACTAATTTTACATGACCAAATAAGGCCTAATTTGTTGTTATTCTTATAAAGCCTTCAACAGTTAAAAAATGGAAAACTAAAAAATTTTAACCTTTTCTACGTTTAAACCTAAGGAGGGTAAAAAGACACTAGAGACAAATGTGTCAAAGATCATAGGGAGCAGTTATCCACTGAGATGAATAATAATGCCAAAAAATAAAAATTAAGATAAGTTTGCAGGGGACTGACTGAGGCACTGCAGCAAGATACTGCACTCTAGGGTTGACCGATATGGGAAGGTTTCAGGTTTGCTTCCCGAGACCTCCCTCAGTACACTAGCTGGTGCATGCCTATGGTCCAGGACTGGCTGGATGGGGGGTTGATTATGATCTCAATACCCTGGAGTGGTGCTGTCTCCCTGGCTTACTGGCTCTCACTCTGTTTCTGTCTGTCTCTGTTTCACTCATGGAAGAAATAAATAAACTTAAAAGAAGTTTGAAAATATAATTTGCCTTATAAAATATCATTAACACACTAAGGGATATTCCATTCTTCAGATGGAATTTCCTTGGATTAGCAGTTGCTTTGTATAGTAATATGAAATTTTTACTGCTGTCAGGGTAAAATCTTTTTTTTTAAAGATATTTTTGCTATAGCGCATGTGCACACTCCAGAGAGAAAAAGAAAGAGAGAAATCATCCCCCAGGAGGGACAGTCACAGTGAAATCCCTTCTTCTCTACATCTTCTTGAGATATTTTTGGCCACGCATGTCCAGCATAAGTTTCAAGCCACCAGGTCTGTGACTTGAACTGTGGTTGGTCATGTGGAAGTCCAGTACCTTAACCACCACACCATCTGCTGGTCCCAGGGTAAACTCTTACTGGTCACTTAAATATGTTTCATCTTCCTTTCATATTATGCTGACAAAAATATTTCCAAATCCATGTTCACCTTATCTCCCTTAGTGACATATTGATTTAAAAAATAACTGGAAAGGAAAGACTTAAGAACTATACATTGGGGGGCCAGCAGATGGCATGGTGGTTAAGGTGCTGGACTCCCACATAGCTGACCGTGGTTTGAATTCTAGACCTGATAGCTTGCTTTCTCACTTTCTCTTTCTCTCTGTCTCTCTCTGTTGAGCATCCATTCCCTATAGCAAACGTAATAATAAATAAATAAGTAATTTTTTAAAAACTCAAAAACTGCATTGGAAGGGAGAATAGAATATGACCACTCAGTCAGATATACTTAAGTTTAAATTAAGTGACAACATAATCTTTCATCTAACCCAGACACCTTTTTTTTGAGAGAGAGATTGTTGCTATAGTGTGCATGCACTCACCAGAGAGACAGCGAGAAAGAAAGTGAGAAATCACCCCAGGGGGATGGATATGCTGCAGTCCCTTCTATTCTCCTCTCAGGTTTTTGAGCACACATGCACATAGGCCCAGTGTGAGTTTTAAACTGCCAGATGTAAGACTTGAACCACTGTCAACTACATGGAAGTCCAGCAAGGTAACCATTATGCTATCTGCCAGTCCTCAGACCCTTTTTGTTAAAGAGTAAAGCAGTGGATATTAACAGCTAACCAGCGAAGCAGGTGGGCATAAAGTAGAACTGTTCCTTGAGAACTGGAATGAAAGGTCAGTCTAGGTCAAACCTGACCTGCCACCCATTAATTATTTGACCGAGGACTCTGATTTAAGTTTCAGCTTTCACAACTGTAAAACATGTATTTTAAAAAATAAAAAAATAGAACTGGCTGGGTAGCGTAGCAGTAATGTGTTGCTCAAGAGAAGCTGGATTCCATGTGGTGACCTGAAGTTTGGCTCCCTGGCTGGTCAACCTGAAATATACAGGATGCATGCTCCAGAGCTCGCAGTCTGACAGCTGGAGGACTGACTGGAGGAAGGTGTGCACGCTGCAATCAGACCCTGGGAGATGCCCGTCTTTCTCTCACTCACTCTTTCTCTTTCCATGTGTTCACATGTGCTCTTTCGTGAATAAGGAAAATTGTTTTAAAAACCTTATAGTGCTTCGATAAAATAGAAGACCATTAAAAAACAATCAATATTTAGCACAGCAACTGGTACAAAGTTCTCAGTGATTTTTTTTTTCTCTGTTACTGCGATTGGTATTATTACTGTTTTCTGCCCAAGTTCTCCCTAGCCTCATGTTCCATCTCAGAAGGAAAGCACAGAATCTTCTATTTGTGAATTGCCTTTACATTTATTGAGTGCACCTCTGTAGCTTGAGCATTTCCAGACAGGGCCTCCTCAGTCAGTTCGCTCAGTGGTAGTATTGCCCCGTCTCCCCTGAGCCGAGGACCGAGCAGCTGGAGCACTTCCCTCAGCTACCCTTTATTTCGGAGGGACATAACAAAGCAGATGGGCAGTCCCCTGGAGGGTTAGGACCAAAAACGATCATGTCAGAATCTTCTATAACAAGTGCTGTCATTTTATAACCTTTTTTTTGATATTAAAAAGTGTTCATTCTGATCATTTCAGGTAAAGGTGGTTACCTTTCCTGGGTTTTGTTTGTTTGGGAGCAAAATGTGGTACCTTAGTGTGGTCCACTGGAGAATTAGTTGGAAGTAGGGTTTCAGTCACATGGAACTTCCGTAGCTTCTGGTTAGCCATAGAATAGAACCACTATACAAGCCGTGTGACAACTACAGAGTAATAGGTTAACTTCATTTTTTTATTTTGTTTGCTTTTAGGAGAGGAGCTCCTCATCCCCTGTAAAGTCTATTTCAGTTTCCTGACAGACTCTCGCAATGAGGTTTGGTGGACCATTGACGGGAAAAAGCCTGATGATGTCGCTATTGATGTCACCGTTAACGAAAGGTATCATGGGGGCAGGCAACGGGGTGACTAACCTTTGTCCCTCTGTCTAATGCCTGTTGATGTTCACCAGTGAGTTCTCAGCTTTGCCTATTGTTAAAATTCAGCAAGATTTCCAAATCTTTAGTGACTGCATTTCCTAGGAGCGTTAGTGGACTTGCAATCCACAGGCCAGGTGCTACATGATAACCCTCAGACAGTGAAATAGAATGGCCCTGAGGCTGTGTCCAGAGGGCACACACCCTATTGTATTAAATTCAGTCATATTCTCATGGACTTATGAGACCCACTTGGAAGCAGAAAGAATACATATTCGATACGCGTGAGAAAGCAGGCCAGCACCATGGCCTAGTGGTTAAGGGAACATGGCTGACAGCACAGTTCAAATCCCAGATCTGGTGAGTTGAAACAAATGCCAGGTGCTTATGCATATGTGTCCAAAATATGTGGGGAAATAGAGACGGGATTGCTGCATAATCATACCTTGTTGGGGGCTGCTTTCTCCCTCTCCCTTTCTTTCTCTCTGTCTCTCTGGTAAATGCATATCCCCTCTGGGGCGAGGGTAGAAAGAAGGAAGAAAGAAAGAAAAAAAAAAGAAAAAGCCATAACAGGGTTATAGATACATGAAAGCCCATCAGTGAAGCTGTCAATCTTGGAGTCTGGACCTGTTTATTTGTGTCTCAGAAAATTATGTCGAATTTCTTGTATTTCAGTGAGCATGTACCTCCTGTTGTCCCCTTCTCCTTCTTAATTCACATAACAATTGTGTTGTATTTATAATAGATCTTTTTAAAATGTTGACTGAACATGTTTATGTTCTTTAATTTTTTTTTTTTTTTAGGAAGATTTTTGCTGTAAGGGCATGTAAGCTCACTGGAGAGACAGAGAGAAACAAAAAGACAGAAAGCAAGAAATCACCCCACAGGGGAGATAGGCCACACCACAATCCCTTCCTCTCCATTCTCCTCTCAGGATTTGGGGCATGCACACACACACACATGCATCTGGCGTGAGTTTCAAGCCTCCAAGTCCAGGACTTGAACTGTGTCCGGGCATATGGGAGTCAGTGACGTAACCATTATGCCATCTGCTGGTTCCTAAATTTTATTTTTTAAACAAATGGACAGTGATATAACTCACTCTTAAAATAAAAATCTGGATTATTTTACTCCTAAATAAATCTTATTCTTTAAAAGGGAGATGACAAAGAGGAAAGCTACAGAAGATTCCTCTGTAAACGAAGTTATAACATTACCAGAGAGCAACTGCTTTGCCACTACAGTTGGTAGAACTTTGCAGCTGATCATGGTAAAACGTCGCAGCTGACCAACTCCATGAGAAAATAACTCCACAACCTTAGCACTTATCACATATGTGCAGATATATGTTTTATAAGGAATTGCTTTATTTTTATTATTTTTTAATTTGACCAGAGAGAGACAGAGAGAGAGAGACAAAGTGAGAAAGCAAGCCACCAGATCCAGGACTTGAACTTCAGTTGGCCATGTGTGCATCCAGCACTTTAATCACCAGAGCACCTGGCAGCCCTAAATATATCTTAAGATACTTGAATTTCTAGAATTCAAGAGATACAGCTTTCCTAATACTAAGCTAAGATTTCATGCAGAAATTATAAAACATCTGCTTTCCATTAGGTATTAATTAACTCCCTAATTAGGCAGATTTTCTGAGTAGCAATGATAGTGCAGATATTTAAATATAATGTAATAACTAGCGACTGAACCAAATTCTCCAACTGACAGTAAGCCCAATCAAAAGGAGAGTCTGGATGACAGCAAGCCATACTGGAGATATTTGTTCTCCTTTAAGCAGTGTAGTTCAAAGGGATTTGAAATCTTGATCTTGGATCCAAAGCGCTTGTTCTCTGACTCTGAGATTTGGATATATTTATTTTTAAAAATGTATTTGATCTGAACGGTTTCTTTCTTTTTTTTTTTTTAATAGTTCAAATTTAACTATGATAGTTCAGCATTTTTACGCAAATATTCTACCTCTGTTTAGAATCCCAGCTTTAAGAATCACTGAAATGTATTAACTATTTGTAGTGGATAATAATAATGGCCTACATGAATATTTATTAAGCATCCTTCTAATATTTATGGATTTCACTGTGTAGTCATTATCACTGTCCCGTTTTTACAAAAGGAGAAACATAGGAAGATTATGGTTTATCTAGCCCAAATTGTATAGCCAATAAGTGGCAGAATCTGGATCAAAACCCATTTGGTATTGCCTTAGAAGCCTCTTTCTAAACCAATACAGTAACCTATACCAGAAATTTGAGCAAAGGACTTATTTTGCTTTGAAGAGAGATCTACAGTAAGAAGCTAACATTGGAATTTGATCTAGACATTGGGATAGTGTGAAGCATAGATGGGAAACAGCAGTACTTTATTGGACTCTAGTTATCCCCACCTTAAAGAAATTGCCAGAAGGTGCATGCAATCACTAAAGAGAGACAGGGAAATGACACGTGCACTTGCCAGAGAGAGACAGAAAGAGAGAGAGAGAGAGAGGAGAAAGCACCCCCATGGGGTGTGGACATGTTGCAATCCCTTCTCCATTTCCCCTCCTGTTGTTATTTGGGGCACATATACATGCATACACACCCAGCATGTTTTTCAAACTGCTGGAGTGATTTGAACCACAGTTGCACTGTAGAATCAGGCTCCCTTAACCACTGAGCCTACAGGGCCAGCCCTACCTATTCCACCCTGCAACCATTGTGTTGCAGTAACAGCTTACCAGCATTGCATCTGGACTGATCTGGGGGCTCTGTGGTTGCTTGCTTGTCTGATTCACACACAGTGAAAATTAAGTCACTTTAGTTCAGAACCCCTTAGAGTCTTTAACGTATTAACCTTTAATACAGATAACTGCAGAAGGTCGGATTATCATAGGAAAGATGTTTTCAAATATATTTGACTGGAGAGTCCTTAAGTGCAGAGTATTTTATGGGACTAATTCTCTCATGCATGTATCCTGGGAACAATTATGCAGGGTGACATAAATTAATGACATCAAATGGATAGAATCAAAACAATCTGTTAAAAGCTCGTGAGTCTCACAAATGCTTTGATTTTCTTTCTCCTATTTCTAGTATAAGTCAGACTAGAACAGAAGATGAAATAAGAACTCTGATTTTGAGTATCAAGAAAGTTACTGCTGAGGATCTCAAGCACAGCTATGTCTGTCATGCTAGAAATGCCAGAGGGGAAGTTGACAAAGCAGCCAAGGTGAAACAGAAAGGTAATGGATGCACTCAGAGAATGAATCCGTGAACGCCGAATGTAACGTTGTGGTGAATAAGGAAACAAGGAGAGATTGCGAACAAGAGCATCGGCCCCTATCGTAATATCTAACATACAGTAATGAACCGAGGTAGAATGGAAAGAGAAATTTTCCATCGGTGTAAAGATGCTCAAATGCTGTTTCTAATAGTGTTAGTACCTTAATCTGACTTTTAAAAAAACCCATGTGATTACAATAATAAGGTGCAATTTTGTATCTATACAATTCTGAAAATAAAAAATAAAGTCTTCAAAGCTACTAAGAATATAAAGAAACTGGTAGAGCCACATGTTGTGGGAGAATTATAAAGACCCTTTTAGAAATCATTGAGAGAGGAGTCCGAGAGTCATAAAAATGACCATACTGTCTGACCTAATACTTTTGGAATTTTTCCTAAACAAAGGGCAGGAAGCCGTCTATATTCTTAGAAGCATTATCTATACTAAAGAAACACAAATTACCACTATCTCACTGTGTGTAAATGGCTAAATAAAGTATAAATATTATCAGAAAAATATAATTTTAAAATTACACTTTAAACTTTATGTATCAGTATTAAGTAGGTTTATACTATGCCACTTGCCCCAATTGCTAAAATGAAAATTATTTAGTCTGTGATCTTAAATGATGTAAAAAGGACTCTATGTTGATATTACTCTATTTTTCTATAATAAATAAAAATTGTAAACCCTTCTGGTGTGAGCTGTGGCTCCCGAAACAGGCTGTGTCTAACATTCTCTTTGGGTCTCTCATCTAACACAGAATCCTAGACAGCTAATTCCTTCAAGAAAGCTTTTCAGTGGTCTGGAGAAAGCGAATGATGACTTATTGCACACGTGATCAGCACATGCAGAATCATTTTGGATCCTAATCCATAATGGAGCCTATAATATTTATATGAAAACATAAAAATAAAAATCTAGCTCATAATTGTTACATTTTTAGGTAGGACTTTTTTTTTAACTGATTAAAAAAAATTAATTAATTAATTAAAAAACAGGATTCACCTCAATGTTTTGTTACAGTGTAAGAAGTAGAAAGCAAAGACTTGAAATGCATATGGTATTTCATTGCTACTGCTCCTCAGAAATCACTGTGAAGGGACCAGCAGTTAGCATAATGGCTATGTCGCTGGACTCCCATGTAGTCAACCGTGGTTTGAGTCCCGGACCCAGTGGCTTAAAACTCATGCTGGGCGAGTGTGCATGTGTGCCCAAGATCCCGAGAGGAGAATGGAGGAGAAGGGATTGTGGTGTGGTCATCCCCCCTGGGGGGTGATTTCTCACTTTCTCTCTGTCTCTCAGTGTCTGCCTGGCGAGCACACGCGCCCTATAGCAAAAACCTCTCCAAGAAAAAAAAAAAAAAAAGAGAGAGAGAGAGAGAAAGAAATCACTGTTAAGAGAGAAGACTAAAGTCCATGATGGAAAACAGTTGCCCAGGGTTAGTTCCCAAGAACACTGCCAAGAATCATTATTGGAATACAAAGCACTATTCGTGCGCTAGAGTCAGGTGCCCTATGTTGAAATCCTACTTTCTCAGCTTCCTAACTCTGTGACCTGGCAGAGTCACTTAATCTCCCTGAGCCTCAATTTATTTATATTTCAAATTGGCAAAATAATGCAACTGCCTCCTCAGGCTGTTTTAGACAGTTCAGCGCAGTCACTGGCGTATATACATTATCTATTAAAGACTCGGTAAATGTTGGCTCTTATTATTTCCACTAGATTTGCATAGGTGTTATTTGACGAAGACTTTTATACTCAAATAAGTATCACTGAAATCTAGATAAACAAAATTAAGTTACTTTAGTTCAGAACCCCTTAGAGTTATTAACCTTTAACACGGATAACTGCAGAAGGTTGGATTATCATAGGAAATATGTTTTCAAATATATTTGACTCCAGATTCCTTAAATATAGAGCATTTTATGGGAATAATTCTCTGATGCATGTATTCTGGGAAGTTATACAGGATGACATAAATTAATGATATCAAATGGATAACATCGAAACAATCGATTAAAATAATGTTTAATGTGGGAGTGAAACACAGACCTGCTCACCGGAGCTATTTGAGAAGCTACACTTACAAAGAAGCCCCTGCTCTCAATGGTGTCATATGGACAATCTCAGAAATGTGACCTGCAGGTGGATTCAGTAAACCCGATGGTCTGTCCTGAAAGGTGACATAGAACTTTGTCAGCTATGTATGTCCAGTGCTACCAGAGGTGTTGTGGCTCAGTAGTTGGCTTCTATTCAGCTAATGCTGAACTTGAGAGGTGATACCTGATTTGATAAGGATACGGGGTTTCTTTCTGAGTTTATTAACAAAGCGTTCTACAGGACCAACAGTTGGTGTAATGGCTGTGTTAGTGGACTCCCATGTAGTCAACAGCAGTTTGAGTCCCAGACCCGGTGGCTTAAACTCACGCTGGGCGTGTGTGCATGTGTGCCCAAGATCCCAAGAGGAGAATGGTGGAGAAGGGATTGCGGCATGGCCATTCCCCCTGGAGGGTGATTTCTCACTTTCTGTCTCTCTATCTCTCTCTGTCTTTCTGGCAAACGCATGCACCCTATAGCAAAAAACTCTCAAAAAGCAAACAAACAAACAAACAATACAAAGTGTTCTGCAGTGTATACTTCAATGAGAAGATGATAGGAAGGGGCTAGGGCCTAGGGTAGAGGAATTCACTGGCATAGGTCTCGCTGACAGCACAGTTTCATCTAATCAGGCAGTCATTGATGTAAATATGTTAAACATACAGTTGATACAAAAGGGGTAAGGGAAGGTGTATGTTTAACATTATGGGAAACCAGAAAAAGGTTGAGCCATTTTACATTGCCTCTAAAAATGTATATAAATTTCAAGTTCTCTACTTCTTCACCAAATTTGGGAGTGGTCGAACTTAAATTTTAGCCATACTATCAGATGACTAATGGGATCACATTGTATTCTTAGTTTACATTTCTTGGATGGTAATGATGCTGAGCACTTTTCCATGGGCTTATTGATCATTAGTTAATAGTTGTTTTTGTCAAATGTCCATTAAAATCTTTGGCCTATTATTTATTTGGTTATTTATATTTTTGATTTAATGTGTTATATGAGATATTCATACGCATTCTGAATGTAAGTCAGATGTAAGACTTGTAAATATTTTCACTCGGTTTAAGTTTATATATTTTTCCCTGAGCAAAGACACAGAAAGAGAAAGAAGAAGAAACACAGAAACAACACCCCTGGCAGTCTTTTGACCCTATGATGAACCCTTAGCCTCAGTCAGCCCCTGATCACGGGAATCCATGTGTCCAGTATACTCAAGGAGGTCTCCAGACACAAATCTAGAACATTCTCACCTGGTCAGCCTTGCAGTGCTGTATTTTACCAACACACCATTGTCCAACCCCAAATTCACTTTTTTAGATAAATAGAATTTTTAAAAATTGGATGAAGTTCATTTTACCAATTTCTTTCTTTTCTGTTAGTGCTTTACGAATCCTATATTAGAAGTCTTTGCCTATATTATAGTTAAAAGTATATTCCGTATTTTATTCTGAACATTTTTCTTTTATACTTAGACCTATAATTTATTTCAAATTATTGTTTTCACCCTGTGAGCTATGGGTTACAGTTTAGTGGTGGTGGGGTTGTTGTTTTTCAATACAGATAACCAGTTGTTTCACCATCATATTTTTTTTCCCTTTTTTCTTTCCTTTTTCCTTTTTTATTGAATTGTTTTTAAAACTTGGCCAAAAATAGCAATTGAACCAATGGGTGTAAGTCTGTTCTGTGTTCTTTTCTATTTACCTGTCTTTAGTAGAGTATCATCTTTCTTCATTAACATAGCTTAAAAATAAGTCAGGAGATCAGATATTCCATTCTATGTTTTTTCTCTTTTTTTTTCTTTCTCAAGATTGATTTGACTATTTTATAGAGCATGTATATATTTTTTTCATACAGATTATTGGTATCAGTTTGTCAATTTCTATGTAAAATCTGGGAATTTGACTGGAATTCTATTTAATTTAAAATCAGTTTTGGGGTAATTGAAATCTTTTTTTTTTCTTTTGAAGATTAGGTAAGTTTCATGTTATAGAGTGCAAAACTGATATAAATGTGGATTAAAATTATGAAGCACACACATTAGAATGTGTAGCTTGCTGAGTTTGTTCCTAATTGTACTTCTACCTTCACCAACAACTCTGTAGTATTAGATATCATAATAAAATAGGTATAAGGAAGGGACAAAAAAAACGATAAGATAATAGAATTGTTGTATATAAGCTATTCTGATTTCAGAATAAAATTTGTGTTGTTCACTCCTAACTTGCTAACAATGCATAAGTAAGTAAAAAATTGAAGAAAAAATATTTATATTATCTTGTTATAGTCTATACTGAAAAGAAATAAAATAGGATTCACTGATCCTTACTTGTGATTTTAAAGTAGGAGTTAAATCTGTTGCCTCAACAGACAGCCTTTCCCACCAATCAGAACGCTGCTGTTTGAAGTTTAGCCTCCGCCCCAGCTCAGTGAGTCTCTCCCTCAAGATTGCTCTTTCCTTTTCATCACGCACTGCATTGGGAGAATCTGAGTTGCCCTGATTGACTGGCACTTCACTGCTGCAGTTCCACCCTTAGAGCCGTAGTTACTACCCGTTCGCTCTCCAGTTCCTTCTTCAACATCTTTGCTTCTGCCAGTGGGCCTTCTCTTTGATTAAGGCAGCTGTGAGTTTTCTGCTTTTCCTCTTCCAAATGCTGTTTAAGTTTGTGATTTTTCTGTAATTAATTCCATACTCGTCCCTTTATCTTCCAATATTCTAATCTGTTGTCTAAGTTCCCCTAACTCACCCTGCAATGAAGATAAGGCTTTTACTTGCCTCTCCAGTGATAGTCTCAAATTCTGGTTTTCTGTAACAAGGTTATTTTTCTGAGTTTCAGAGTCCACCTTCTCTGCTT